CAGCCGCATGCGCGAGCAGTCTTCACAAACAAAGCGCGCGTCAGCATTTGAAACTGAAAGCAGCCTTCAGTCAGTGAGGTTCATATTTTAAATATATAAGTCCACTGCATTCCAAACCACATAAATGATGACTTCGTAGAGCATTTGTAAGGAACATACCGACGGGCGAGGCTGCACACTTTAAGTGTAACATCAAACAAAGCGCACGTCTCTCACAGCGCATCCTGTGCAATGAAGCCCGCGAATGTCCTTGAAAACTAAGCTCAGAATTGATTCTGAAATTCCCAGAATCGTTGGAGAGAGAATCGCAATGCATCGATGGATCGATTTTTTTCTCCCACCCCTATTACTTTACTAGTTACTTGATAAAAGTAATCTGATTACATAACTCGCGTTACTTGTAAAGGTAGCCATTGCAGGGCTCCAGACTAACATTTGAGAGCAGTGGCACCAGCGCCACGAAGTTCTACAGATACTTTAAAGTGCTGGAAATAGTTGTTTGAAAGCCATTGAAAAGTGCTTGAATTTCGGTCTCAAAAGGTTGTACAAACCCTGAAATGAATAATGTAATGCATTCGACTATTTCTACCACAACCCCATGGTTATAGTTAGCGTTACCGCTTCTGGTTTCCTGACGTATGTCAGCGCTGTTTATAACAGATAATTATGTGCAGAATTTTAAATCCATAACTTGAGTATATCCATAAAGAATCCATACTATTGAAGTCAATTTTGTTTGGTCACCAACTTTCATTAAAATATCTTGTGTTCATCAGGAAAAAAACACGTACAGGTTTGGGACAACTTGAGTAAATGATGACAGAATTTTCATTTTTGGGTGAACTGTCCCTTTAATACATCAAAAGTATTGATCATTTATCATTTTTATTATAGGTATTATCTTTTTTTTCCCGCTTATACTAAATTGAACAAAAGCTAAACCCTACAGTATAAAAAAAAATAAAACAGATTATTGGAGTATGTTTTACAAAAAAATACTGTCTCAGTCTTTCTACTTCAAAATTTCACAATTAATTCAATGTGTTACTTGCCATTTGTTTGTAATTATTTGTGAAATTTACTAGCAGTTTTTGAGTGTAAGTTGAGCATAAATGCTATTTCAAGTGGCTTATGTTTTTTTTTTTTTACAAGCAATCAGACTTAGAGTTTTTGCTTTGCAGAGACTCAAACAGGTGAAAAAAGCCAATAATTTAATGGATCAATGTAAAATCATGTCTAGAGACCAGAATTGCTGGATGTATCTGTTTGTCATTTCATTTAATTTCATTTTGAAAGGTCATTTTATTTGAAGATCCAGAGAAGCGGTTTCACGTCTCAGAACGACGCTTGAAAGTACTTCTTCTTTTGTATTTGTTTCATCAGAATTCAATGGAAGGAAATGAGTCTGTAGCTCTTTGTTATAGTTAATTTTTTTGATGGGTTAAGGCGAGAAATTACAGTCACATCTTACCAAAACACTCTCAAAATTATCAAGGCAGAGAGGAAAATAATAAGTCGAGTTTATTAAAGAAGGGTTTTTGAGTTCCTACGGTTTGTTTCAGACCAATCCAATGCTCTTGTAGCAGAACGCAGTCGATCCGTCACTCATTCGGGCCGCTCTGGTCTGGAAGATCTTGCCAAACCCAAACTTTTCCTCATGTCTCAGTTCGGCAGTGTGAAAATGCAAGGGAGGGATTCGGGAAACCGCAGCCGAACAGATTCCAGCACAGCCTCGTATTGCCAAGGGATGGTCATGTAAACATTCTGCAGCCGCGTCGGTTCCCAGGCGAGGCGGGGCTCTGCGAACTAATGAGGTGTTTATGTTGGAATGAAGTGCCTGCGACTCCCTCTTCCACTGACTTGATCTGCCAGTATTGACTAATTGCCATGAATAAAGCCACATATCTCACCTAAGGAGCTCCTACCGTGACGCTCACAGACGTGACTCGTTGAATGCAGTTCTTCAATGCTACAGTGATCATGTGTGAAAGCAAAACTAATATTGTAAAAACCGATGAAATTCTGATTGGAACATTAGTTCTGAAATCGCTGATGAATGCATGGCCATGAGCGTGCATAAGTTCTCTGTTAATGCGGCACGATGTAAACAACTCGGCTCCGTTTTACGTTTTGTTTGTCTAACAAATTGCTTAACTGAAGTTCTTCCTCATCATGTTTGGGACTTGTTTCACTCTGTTTTCTCAAATTGCTCCGTGTTGCTAACATAAAGAATAATCACTGCTGGTTGACACTTTTTGCAGTAGCCTCCTCTGAAGTGTTTATGTTTGACAGCCAGGCCCAGTGAGGTGTGGCGAGAAATGACCTCATGCGTGAACACACTCAAGTGGTTCATTTTGGTCGTCTTTGGAAAAAATTAGCTAATGTGCATAATGGTTTGAATGTGATGTTCTGTCTTTTGCTTCTACCAATTGGATTACACAAAATGATTTATATATTTATGTTAATGAGCAATATGCTTTCAATCACTCGTAGCTCAAGTGCATTTAATATGTATAAGTGGTTGAAAGTTGAAGGTTTGGATAACACACAATGCATTTTTGCATTTCACTTCGCCTCTTTTCCATTGTTTTTGTATGAACAAGATATAGCCTATATTTGTGCAAGATGGGTGTGTTTGACCATTGCGTCTTTTTCGTGCATGACATTCTAAAAACAAAGCATAAAAGAAGTAAACTTCTTTAACTTAAAAAAAAAGAATATATATATATATATATATTTTTTTTTTAGAAAATGCACCACTATAAATTGCGGCTTTTTTCCATTCACTGCCCAGCATCTTTCGTTTTTAAGTGAATACATGCTTTCTGTGTGAATGGATTTTTAAAGTTAGACTGTTAAAATCTTGAAGGAATAGTTCATCCAAAAATGAAAATTGTCCTCTTCTTTCTCACCCTCATGCAGTTCCAAACTAGAGCTGCATGATAGATCAAAATAAAATCGATATTTTGACCTGGCTTAGTGCAATTTATACAGTGAAGAGTATGCAGTGTTATTTTACATTTGATTATTCAATTTCTGCACCTTCATTAATGTTTGAACTTAGTTTTTGCTATGCAATCAAAATTGGAATCGAGAATTGTGAAATTTCATTTGTATGTTACATGGGTCAAAACAACAATAATAATGATTATTTTCATATATTTTGGAAGCTCATTCAATTTTTAATTAATTAATTTATTTAATTTATTAATTTATTTTTATTATATTGTTTTTCATTTAAAAAAAATATTTATTTTTATTATTATTATTATTATTTTTTTTTTAAGGCCACTGAAAATTTTGGTAGGGCAAGTAAATTTAGTTATTATATTTTATTTTTAGCTTTTTTATTAGTATTTGTAATTTTCTATGTAGATGCACTCCCCCAAAAAATCACCCCACTAACTCTAGAATGATTAATTATTTCCAAATAAGGTTATTTAAGTCATTTGGTGAAAATTCCTGTATTTTTTCATATTGCAGAAAATCTAAATATCATTTATAAAACACAACAGATGAAGCCCTAGTAACTGCTTACTAAATCAAATGCTCCTGATCTGATAGTTAGTGACGTTTTTCCTGTTGTAAATTATTAAATTACGTCATGTGCCAGTTTATTATGGAAACCACTAAGTAAACCATTTGTAGACTTTCTGAATACACTAGCTATATTTGGAATGCAGTACTAGTGTAATATTTTTAAAAAGTAGAAGTACTTCTGTCTTGCTTCCTAATCTAGTTGTTTTTGTTTCTCTTTTTGAATAAAAGTGTGCTAAATCTGTAAATGTAAATAAATGTAAATCTATAACTGTTTTAGGTAGTAGCATATGTAGTTGCGTTATGCAGAGATAAACATTTAAGTATCATTACAGTAGTTCATTGTTGTTTATAAATGGAAAGTCATGTTGAGCACATTGCATTATGGGATTCCCTGGTTGTATAACGCACATTTTGTAGGACCATATGAAATCAGTTGTATTTTTTCCCCCAAACTCGGTTTTATTTATTTACTTATTTAATTTAAATTTTTTCCAAATGGCAATTTTTTTTCTGAACTCCATTTTAATGGTTACATTTAAGTTTATTAATCAAAAACCAAGTCTAATTAATTGAAATCGTGAAGCTTATACAATTTAAAAGCAATTTATTAAAAGTTTAACAAAAATTACATATTTAGGGCCCTATGAAATGTTAAATTTTTTCAGAATTTTTTTACCAAATTCTGTGTTTTTTTTTTTCATTTTTCTGGATTCCATTTTAATGTTTTAATCAAAAAACATATCTAATTAATTGAATTCATAAACTATTTAATTTATTCATTTGTTTACAATAATAGGGCCCTATGAATTTTTTCCCCCAGAAATTCTGTTGTGTATTTTAATTATTCTGCTAATCAAATAAAGGCATAAAACATTAATTTAATTTATCTTTTAATCAAATAAATTAAACAAACCCTTTCATTTTTTGGCAAACAATGTGCTACACAACAGAGGTTTACTGTAAAAATTAAAACATGGAAGAAAAATTGTGTGATTATTCCTTAAAGCTTTAAAATAATAATTGTATTATTATCATTATTACATTAAGACATACTGTAAAATAGTAATATTTCTGTCACAATTTCAAGTTAAAGCAGACCTGTATTTTGACGGGTTGCAGTGAAGACCTTTACGTTTCTGTGTGTATATGATATGACAGTAGTTTTTGTCAAATGAAAAGGTAAAATGCTGATAAAGTGATTCTCAGAGCAAGTTTTTGTGTTCATGTCCTCATTTAGTAAGAGCACCACGCATGCTTCAGTATAAGTAGTCGATGAAACCGCGCGTCTGTGCCGTAACTCACATACTGTGCCCAGTATAAAAATGACACACTTCCCCGTTAAATGTGTTTTGTGGTTGTTTTGGTGCTGCTCTGGAGAGTGACGTGCCTGTAGAGCTGCTGACTGTTGTTTCTCTGGAGCGCGTGAGGCCTGATGGCAGTCGTCTAAGAGCAGATTGTCAGGGCCGTTTGTGTGATGTTAATGAACATCTGTGGCATGTCTGCTGATGCCCCGTCAGGCTGAGAGCCACAGGATGGGCCAGCGGAGCAGAGCAGGCTGGGTACTTCACTCTTTGGCAGCGCGCCGTTCCTTCTGGAGACTGAGAGAGAGTTTGTGACGATCTGCAGCTCACCGAGCGATCGCACAGAAAGCGTCTGAGAAGTGTGGAAGTATGTCATGCATTTGACGGACATCGTATGTACAACTTAATATCAGCTGCATATTTACTGAAAATTCACTTAATAAAATATTCAGTTTTACAGAAGAAAGTTGTTAACAGTACCAGAACTAAATGATTTTCATGCTGTTCAGTGCTTCTTAAGCACCAATTATAGTACCCAACACTTTTTATTTTTTTTTAGTGAATCAAAAACACTTAAATCAATCAGAACTAGGGATGCTCCGATTGATCGGCCAGAGATCGGTATCGATGTACAATCACTAAAGCCAAATTCCCTTAATCATCCATCACAATGAGTAAAAGCAAAGAATATAGTTCTGATGTCCAGAACAAGATTGTTGAGCTTCACAAAATAGGAAGTGGCTTTCAGAAAAGAGCTAGAGTATTGAAAACGACCATTTCCACCTACATCTTGGATGCCCTGGGGGTAAGCAGATAAACATCAAATTTTCATTTTTGGGTGAACTATCCCTTTAAATCTACTCATCACCTTAACTGCGTTTGTAGCCGGCGCCATAACCAGACTGATAAACAAACACAGACCGGAAGTTATCTTCGGGCAAGGTGCGTGCGCCCGATGAAACCGTCTATATAAAGCTTGAAGCATCAAAATCGGCATCAGTATCGGCCGATCACCATGACAAGAAATCGGTACTCAGTATCGGCTGCAAAAATCCTGATCGGAGCATCCCTAATCAGAACAGTTATTGAATTAATCTGACTCACTTATTGATCTGCGCATCAGTGTCTTCACTGACTGGTTGTTCATATGCCAATGTATAATCCTCCTATCTATCTATCTATCTGTCTGTCTGTCTGTCTTATTGCTACTACTTTATATTATAATTTTTTTTATGAATAATTAAAGTCAAATTATTTTATTTATTTATATTCAAGTATATTTATTTATTTAATTAAAAGGCAATGGAATTTCTGTGTGTTTAAATGGTTTTTCACTGAATTTTGCAGAAATTATACAGCAGTACTGTACACAAATGACTGTATTCATTTGTGTATTAAGTTCATTGTAGTGCTAACGATTACTAAATCACAGCTCTGTTATCAGTTGTAATCCGCATTCAATGAAGTTTCTCTTGTTTTAGATGACTGTGTGAATCAGATCTGTCCATTATGTGTTTCTTTGGCTAATTTTATGTTAAAGAAACCCTTTTGTTGACGTGATGTAACGACTGGCGTTAGTAGAAACGCTTGACGTCCATTTTGGTTTTCCTGTCTTTTCTTCTGTGGTCATTCCAGAGCATTTAGTGCAGCTGCGCTTGACTGCGTGCTTTACGTCTGATGGCGGTTAAACCGCAGAAAGCACATGTTATCATGGTGTTCGTCATGTGATCATCAGCTCTTCTATGGTTTAAGGATCTTGTCATCTGGCAGTCAGTGGTTTGTCGTGGGTTTGTTTAAGCTGGGAATTTAAATGGAGCAGCTGGCTTGAATTTACTGACGCTTTAGAGCTAGTATGATGGGGTTTTCTGTTCTCAATCTTCACGTTCTCTGCTGAAGGTTAATGCAACCG